TGTTGATATTAACCTCTATAGGGAGCATATTATGCAAATAAAGATTCAAATGATGTACCTACAGTGCTACTAGCAAACAAGTATGATTCCCAACAAGAACAGTTGACATGAAACAGGCCAAGAGTTATGGTATTCTATTTACTGAAACTTCAGTCAAGAATAGACAGGGTGTTGAAGATGTGTTTTGCACACTGGTGAGAGAAATTTACCAGCTCAACAGCATGGGACTCAAGGTTGTATGGCGTTGCCACATGTGATAAATGTAACAAGATACTTTTAAGTTCTATCATCAGAAAAGAGCCACTTTCAAGCTGCACTGGCTGGTCCTGACTTCCTGGAGAAGTGTCCCTGTTTCTCCATCTCGCAGAAGCTTCTGCCACTTCCTCATCTCTTAGAGGATGAGCACAACGGTGTCCACTTGAGAACTTCTCAGAATTATTACCTTCTCACTTGAGTGTCTGACCAGAGAAATGTACCTCTTGTCACTCCCGTTTTCTGCCCTGAGTTTTACCCCCATCCCCCAAAACAAACCCCCACCACCCAGGTTTTTCATCTGAAAAGCAATTCATGCTCTGAAACAGAACCAAATTCTGTTAAGTTTCTTGAGCTATAAAGTAGCAACTGATGGTGACTTTTTTCCTTTTTACTGTTGAACTTGGACCTATGTTAGTTTTGGAGAAATGTCATAAATCACTGTTTGCCAAGAGTATAGTTAACTTTGCCGATTGGTTGGTAATATTCTGTAAATTGGATCTGCTCTATATTCATCAATACAAAGGTGATATTGACTTTTGAGTACATCCAAGTCTTAACTTTTATGAAACTAAATCAATTTTCACAACAAAGTGCATTTTTTCTAGGTTTGTATACTTCCTTTAAAGTGCTTTGGAATGTTTCAAAACTACTGCACATGAAAGTGAGCATCTATAACCTATTTGTCCTTGAAGGAAAGATATCCACATACTAGCACATGCCGTTTTTATGTAGATGATGAAGACAGTTTTCCAGAGGCCTGTTTTTTGAGCTCTCTTAGGAGAAAGATGGAACTGGAAACAATGAATAATTTCACCAAATTCTTATCTAATTTCCATTTTTAATTGGTCACTATAAATGTATTTGCTTCTTTTACCTTACTGATAATTTAATATTCAATAAAGTGTCCATTTATAATGAAAGTTGGGTCATACCAGAAAACTCTACAATTACAGTTACTCAAATATTGTAAAGGTTGGTGTCTTACGTCAGGCATGGTGGCCCAAGCTTGTAATTATAGCTAATTGGGAGGATCACAGTTTGAGGCTAGCCCCACAAGAAATTTATGAACCCCATCCCAACCAATGGCTGGGTGTGGTGGCATGCACCCATCATCCCAGCCATGTGGAGAAGCACAAGTAGGAGGATGGCAGTCCAGGCCAGCCCAGGCATAAAGTGAGACCCCATCTCAAAAATAACCAACATAGGAAAGGCTGGTGGAGTGCTCAATCAGTAGAGTGTCAGCCTAGCAAGCATGAGGCCTCAAATTCAAACCGCCAGGATGGTTTAAAAAAAAAAAGTGTATTATTTTATAGCTGTTACCCATGGTTTCCAAACCTCAAATACAGCATGTTAACAAATTAGATCTTCACTGTATATCTTAGTCTCTTTATGACATATGTAACTGCCCTCAGTCCCCTTGTCACGCCACCCTCTGTCTCTTACCCACAGCAACTGGGGCTTGATTAATACAATTAAACCACAGTGCTAATAGTGGACCAGGGTTAGTTTATCATCAGAAATTCGTCCCCATTTGCTCACTGCAAATGGTTTTGCTCCTGCTAGTGGTTTTGCAAATGCCAAAGAAGAGGTTAGTTAGCACGAGACCTTTACCATGACTAGAAAAGCTTGGCATCCTAAGGAGGGTCAGGTTAGAAGTCTATATAAATACTAACACCCATTTTTTTTTAGCCACATGGAAACTAAGGCATTTTGGTTTTTTTTGAGAATCAGGATGCATCAGATAAATTTTTCAAATTTTATGTTCTTTGAAGAGCTTAAAAACAGGTGTTGATAAATTACTCTCCATACCCGGTAATGAAAGCTGAGTTTATTCACAACAATGAACCTTTGCCACTATTTGGAAGAAGAGTGGACGGTGTAACTCCCTCTTGTTATGGGGACTGGTAGGCTTTCTACAGGCTGGGGACTGTCCCCCCGTGCCTGGGTTTGAACCCAGACCTTCACACATGCTAAGTACACACTCTGCCCACGAACTACATCCCCAGCCCTGGGAATTCTCATGAAGACTTGAGTAACTTTTCATAATAGACTAATTCCAAATGACTGCCTTCTGATCTGGTTTTCTAAAGTTTAAGAGGGGAAGAAATACATACTGTGCCTGGAGTTTAATAAACTCAGTTGTGCTTTCTAAAAGCTAATGCTAGGATTGTCACCTGTAGCTGGAAAACTACTGCTGTTTCTGCCCCCTTTGGAGCATTGTTCTGTCATCTTCTTGAGGCTACATTAAGGCTTGTCACTTCAATCATGTTTTTTTTTTTTTTTAAATGTGTCTATATGACTGGCAATGTGATTGTAAAGTCTACTAAACTTAATGTCAAATTAGGGAGACAGTTACTCCTCTGAGGCTCTTAACAACCTTAGCCCTGATATGTAATTTACCTATCATTTCTCAAGTATGTTCGCATAGAAGTATCCAAATGGGGCCAAAATTCAGGCTTGAAAATGCTGTCTTAACGGCTTCTTCAACTGGTCTCCAGTGGCTCATGCCTGTAATCCTAGCTGCTCAGGAGGCAGAGATCAGGAGGATAGCAGTTTGAAGGCAGCCCAGGCAAATAGCTCATGAGATCCTATCTCAAAAAAACCCTTCACAATAAAAACTTTTTAAATGGATGAATAAGTTCAGTTAGTGAGATAAAATGTAGTTTGTGATTGCTGAAAATAATTCTAGTTTACCTCAAATTTTAAGTGCTTGGCCAGCTGTCATAAATTACATATTCCTTTATCGTTGCTTTTTAAACTCTGCACATCGGAGAGTGTAACAATAAGATGGTCTGCCTAAAAGATAGGCAGGCACTCTACCACTTGAGCCATGCCCCCAGTCCTTTTGTTGCAGAAGACGTTATAGACAGTATGAGACTGACCAGCGAGAATAAAACTCAAACCCAGTGGCTGAAGGAAAGGAAGGTTTACTACACTAGCTGGCCAGCACCTGAATATCTCCAAAATGGCGCAGGCCCCAAGCTCAGGGTGGTTGAGGTTTTTATACTGAGAAAAGCAGCAGCAGGCAAGTAGGGAGTGCTGGATGCAGGGGCCCCAGCTAAGGGAAAGAGCTTTACTCGTCTTTGGTTCTTTTCCCAGCTTTAATCTTTCTCTGGGTTTCCTTATCACTTATCACTCTTTTCTAACAGTCTATTAGAAAAATAAAGTTGAGACTGAAGACATGAGAACCCTTCCAAGTTTTGGGTCTTTATTCCCCCAGTTCTTACTCTTATGGACATCTGAAAGGGCAGGTAAGGAGAGTATTTTTGTGGCTAACAAAGGAAATGACAGAAGACTTGTCTATCTTTTCTCTTGGTTTGGTTTTATGAGAAGGAAAAAATGAGTAATTGCTGTGCATGTAATCCCAGCTACATGGGAGGTAGAGGTAGGACTGTGGTCTGAGGATAACCTGGGCAAAAACATGAGACAGTATTTGAAAAATAATTAAAGCCAAAAAGAACTGGGGCTGTAGCTCAAGTGGTAGAGCACCTGCGTGGCAAATGCAAGCCCTGAGTTCAAATTCTAGTACCACAAAAAAAGGTTATTTTATAATTACAGTAAGCCTGCCTTATTCACAGATTTATTAATGCAGTTTTGACCAAGTGAGGTAAAAAATCAAGAGATATTTCAAGAACAATTTAACTTCCTGCATGTGCATTCTATAACTCAGGTAATATGACCTGAGCATGTGCAGTTTATCCTCAACGGAGATCTTAGAACCACAACCCTGTTGATACTGAGGGTCTGTTGTAGTTCTAAAACAACGAATTAGAGAAAACTTACATTTTCGACTCAACAGGAAAATATTTGTGTGACTGGACAAACGCTTTTGCAACTTGTCAATCTCCAACATTACACTGTGAGGGAGCACTCTCTGGGCAAGTTAGCAGATAAATAGCTCAAGGCCGACCCTTCACAACTCCAAGAATGATTGCTTTCTCTTGTACCATTAGCATATGAATTCACTTTCGTTGTAAGCTGGGAGCTCTTATTTTACTAGCTAGTACTGCTATTAACTTCTTAGATGCTCAAACTCCCCCACCAGACAGGGGCAGCCCTTCCCTTCAAGTTGGCTTTGTCTATCTGTCTCCCAATCATCCAGTGACCCTATCCTTGGTGCTAGGCACAAGATGCTCCAGGCTCATCTTGAACTTTCGCTGCCATGGTATTGGAATCAGCTCATTCTCTAAGGGAGTAGGACTGACTTTAAATAGTTTCAATTTTCTTATTTGAGAGGCATGTCTTTAATTTTATTGACCATTTTCTCTTTAAAAAATATCATTTTATAGTAATATTTTATACTTAAGTGCCAATTAATGTTTAGTTATTTTTAAACATTTTTCACAACCCAATATATCCTGATATTCAGATCTTATGATCAAAAATTTCCCAACTACACAGTTCTTTCAGTGCTGGCGATAGAAGCCAAGGCATCTACCAGCATGGTAGGCAAGCATTCTACACCCCAGCCCTACACTAGCTTTTAAGAATATAACTAATGAGGCTGAAAAAGGATGAAAGTATTTCCATTAAAAAATGTAGTTGTAAAAAAAAAATGTAAAATTAAAAAAAAGCCCTCAAGTACTTTTGTATATATGTAAATACTTTATTCTGCTTCCAGGGAAGATACTGACAACTAATACACAGCTAAGCTAACTGGAATAAAACACAAGAAATTTATGAGCTGTATGCACATATGAATAATAAAAGAAAAATGAAAAAAAAAAAAAAAAAAAAAAAGAAATTTATGAGCTGACACAGAGGAGAGAAATCTGCAGTCAGTCTTTAACATCACTTACTCTGCCAGGAACATCACAATCCTGGAAATGATCCCAGCCTATGAACCAAGGACTTTTCCAAAAGTACTTGCTTACCCTTCCAGAAAGCATATCTGCTCTGTGTCCAAGACATCAGTGAATAACGAGCTTTCCATATTCCCAAAGCACAAAACATACTTCAAATACAGGCCCTCTGACATGATCCAGTATCTGCTTTTGTAAAGGAATATATTTTCTTTTTATGAAGTTCTTAATGAAAACTAACATTAAGAAATTATTCAATTAGAAAACAAATATATGGTGTATCTTTATATTACACAGGAAATCAATGACGTCTTAAGAGGAAAAGCAGAAAGCATGAAAAAAACCACCTCAAATTGTGACATCTGGAGCAATGTAATTGCCATGCTATCTTTTTACTTTTTTTTTCTCCTCCAGTACTGGGGATCAAACTCAGAACCTCATGCATGGTAGGGAAATACTCAACCACTTAGCTACATCCCCAGCCCTATGTCCTATCTTTTTAAAAAAAGCTTCTTCCAGCTTGTTTCCAGACTTCTTTTACTCCTTTAATGCTTTCTTTTTTCACACATTTCCAGTATTCTTGTATATTCTGTTGTTGTGGTACCTGTTAATCAAAAGTAAAAATTAAGGGTCATTTTCTTCACGGCTAAACATGGCTTCATGTGTACTTTATGTTACTATTTGTCTTCCTATACTCCTGAAAAAAAAAATAGAGAGCAGATTATGTCATTAAACGTGTTTGCTAATGAAAATTATCGGGTGGGAGGAAACAACTCACTTCCTCAGCTGCAAATGATTAAATAGCCTGCCTTCATGAACAAGAGGTCACACTACCATCCTCTATCCTTTCTTTCAGCTTAAGTAAGTACCCTAGTTTTCCTGTTACAGGCTTTCATGAGAGTGCGTCTAGGAGGTTCTAATCTTAACAAAATTCTGACTTTGATTTGACCACTGTGTGAATTTAAGTGAATAAAGGTAAGAGCTAACATTTACTTTATGTGTCTTAGATACTGCGTATTTTATACATAATTCTCTTAATAACTATTTCTGGTAGATTCTATTAGTTCTCTCATTATACAGATGAGGAATCTGGGGCTTAGAAAAATTAAGTGGTTTTGCAAGATCAGCAGTTAATAAATTGTAGAACTAGGATTTATTTAACTACAGAGCCCAAAGGCAAATAAATCCTAGGCTATGATTTCTAGACAGGGGTTTCTATTAGATTCAGGTTAAAGTAGCAAAGAAAAATGTTACATCTCATTTTATACAAAAGATATTTCAGTGTGTCACTTATACCTCCATAATCTTTTTTTTTTGTGGTACTAGTAACTATTTCCTCAGGACTGGCCTGGAACCACAATCCTCCTGATCTGTGCCTCTTGAGTAACTAGGATTATAGACATGAGCCACCAGTGCTCAGCCTCTTTTTAAATATTAAAATTCCCTTTAAGAATGTATATCTGCCCCAAACTCTAGGTTTAACACACTGCTAATAACATGTTAGATTTTTTAAAAATTCAAGATCTGTTACCCATAAACCTCGATGCATCCTGTTTTTTAACACTCCAAGAAACTCTCCATGACTAAGGCATTCATCACCATCCAAATCAAAGATCTTGAAAACAGTGTCCAGAATGTTGTTTGAGAGATCTTGTCCAGTTGCTACCTTCACGGCTCTCTTAAACTCTGCTAAAAAAAAGTAACATAAAACAAATCATCAACTAGATGGAATGGAATAAGTGGAATTAGCCTACATTGTTATTACAGAAACAAATCTACATTTTTGTTTAGGAAAACACAAAAAATACCCACAAATACATTTGAAGTGTAAATTTACTTGAGAAATGCCATGTAAGTAAGAAGATATTTTAATTTAATCAAGGCATTAACCACATATTTAAGTAATTAGGAAAATGAGAAAATAAAAGCAAAAAAGCAATCATTAGTGTTGTTTGTGTTAATACTGTAAATCTAGAATAACCACATTGAATTAAAAGGCCAATTATTTTACTGATAAATGGCTCTTTGATTGGTATCATCTAGTTGAAGAACAGAATGAAGTTGCTTATAGAGGATGAAAATTTAATGATTCATGTCACTTACCCAGTCTCACAGGGCGATGAGCTAAGTTAAACATTTGCATGGCGATAGCAAAATCTTCCAAGTGTGTTGTAAAATGGCAGAATGACTTGAACTCATCCAAACTAATGCTCTAATAAAAGTAAAGGGGTTTTACTATAAGTTATAAATGCTAAAAAAAAAAATCTTATGACTGTAATGGAGTTTTCTGTCATAAAGCTCATGAACTTAGATCTTTCTAAGCAGGTCTATTAAAAAGTTGAAGACACAGCGTAATAATAGAGTACCAGATTTTAGAGCTTAGGAAGAAGCATGAGAATAACTAGCAGGGTCACTGTGTATGGCGGTGTATACTGGACTCTTGGGGTTGTACAATGAAGACCTTGGAGTGGTCCTGAGTTACAGATGAATTGCATTCCCTCTTAATTCCAATTTTGAAGCCATACACCCTCCCCCTTGTAAGTAGGTAATGAAGATCGAATAAAGTCACAGAAGTGGCCCTAACTGGCTAAGACTGGCAAGACACATGAGTGCCCCACCCCCAGAGGCATGTAGCTGAGAGGTTTCATGAGAAAATAGCCTTATTGCCACCTTCACCATGAACTTTCCACCTCCAGGGCAGTGAGGAAATTTCTGCTGTTTAATGTGTCCAGTTTGTGCTACTTTGTTTTGGCAGTTTGAGGAGACTAATACACTGTGTTGAGTGCTCCACTTTTTCTTAGTGTAATCATTTTGCCATTTACTATGTGTATGATCTCAGCCTGAATCTTAGGCAAGTAATTCTTCAGGGGTAAGTAATTTGCTCAAGGTTTATAATCAGGATTGGAACCCTGGTCCATCTGACTTTAGTATCTATGCACTTAAAATAAAAAAGGGGGTGAGTTCAACTATGATATATTGTAAGAACTTTTCAAATGTCACAATGTACACCCAGTACAATAATCAAAAAAAAACAAAAAACAAAAAAATGCATCATCTGAAAACAAAGAAGTAAAAAAGCTAGTTCTCTATTAAAGTGTGAAAATTCTTAATTTGAGAGAAATTCTTCCCTGCCTGAAAAGGAGTTTTTCTTTGTAGAGACCTTTAAGATCATGCCCTCTGTAAATGTGTGGTCTTATTCAAATTTCACTGCATTCAGCTTTTCGGAATTTATAGAAGTTTTGTTTTTTTTTAATTAAGTTTTGTAAAGAAGTATATGCTAGGGTGAACACCTTGAAGGTGACTAACTGGAAACTCCACCCAGCCCTAAAGAAAACAGACATCCACCTTAATTAAGCCACTTACTAGAAACTGCCCATCTGGTCTAGAAGAAATGGCCTGCCCTTAAGGGTCAGAGGGCCATTGAGGATTTTCCTGCCTAGTGACCTCCTGGACTTCTCCTTTATCCACCCCCAGTCTGTAAGTGGCTGTGGGCTTCAGGCCTCTTGCTGAGGACCCCCTCTACAGGACCATTTCTCCACAATAAACCCTGTGCTGATGTTTGAGCTGTTGCCCCACCTACCCATTCTGCACTTCTTTCAGTCTAAGAGTATATACACATGGAAAAATTCCAACAGTGCAAAGGATAATGAAAAGCCTTCTTTCCTCTTCTGATCCCCAGTTCCCTCCCAGAGGTAAAGCTCTGATACCTGGTATATCCTTCTGGAAAGTCTACTCATATAGAAATACATGTGTATACACACATACACTCTTTCCTTGTTTTACAGTGGGAACATCTTCATACACTTCTGCATTTTGCTCTAGTTTTGTAATAGCATGTTTATCAGCACAGATCAGTTAGTAGCTGTTGCTCTGTATCATCACCTCAAAGCAGGTGATGGGTGCAATCTTTGACATTCGCTTTTTTTGACAGATGAACAATGGTATCTCATCAATGTTTGATTTGTGTTTTCATGAATAAGGTTAGGCACTTTCACTAGTTTATTACTCATCTGTGATTTATTTTTTGTGTCCTCTTTGTCCTTTCCCCAGGAAATGGGGCTGTGGGGTGACTTCTTGCTGGGAGACAATTCTTGATGAGTCTCATGTTTCTGTACATCTTTCAAATAGAGGCACCAATTGCCTTTTTTGTTCCAGTCCATCTTTCCAAGGATGTAAGTGAACAATCTTAAAAGCAGACAGTATTGTTCTTTGGAGCAGGGGACACCTTTGCTTACTGTCCAGTACAATGAATACAGTGCCTCCTCTGTAACCCAGGCTGAGTTCTATCTTCCTTCCCCTATCAAGGATTCTGCTTTGCTTACTGGGATAGGAATCTACTGTGCAGAGTACTCATTTGAGCCTCTCATCAGCACCCTCAAAGGACTTGGGAGGCAAGGAAATACTAACAAAATATGGTGCTTATGCTGTGACTGTGGCTATGCTATGGATAATAAAGCTTTTCTTTTTTGTCTCTGGTCCAATCACCTTATATCTTCTGTAAGGATACATGAAATCATGCAAGTTATCTTAAAAATAGACTCCCAGATACTTTACAGTTACTAACTCACTGATTTTCAAAATCTTATGTATTACACAGAGAAAAATCTTAGACCATCAAAGTTTTTGATATTCATGAATTTTTTAAACAGATTCCATTATAAATTAAGGAAGCTGGTCTGTAACATGCGATGCCAACATTCTCATTGTTAAATTTAATTTTTCTTGAAAGCTGAATTTCGCTTTAAAATACCTATATCTGTATTTATCCTACTCTAAGATGCTACACTGCTTCCAAGATGTTTCTATACTTCTTCAGGTTCATTTTTCTTAAAGATGATGCATTTGGAATTTGTTTTACAGATTTACTCCACTTTCAGCATCAGATGACCACTTTATTTTGTTAATGCCATTCATTAATAATCCACCTTTTTACTGAACAAATTTGAAATGCTATTTTACATATACTAAATTTCCACATGCATTTGAGTCTATTTCTGGTCTTTGCATTCTTGCTTAACTGATCTGTCCAATTCAATATCAAACTGTTTTAGTTACCAAGGTTTGATAATACACTTTCATATCTTGACATTCTTTTATTTTACATTTTTTTTCATCAGTTTTTTTGGCAGTATTGGAGATTGAACTCAGGGCCTCATGCTAGGCAGGTACTCTACCACTTGAGCAACAATGCCAGCCCCTTTGAAGGTGGTTATTTTTGAGGTAGGGTCTCACTTTATACCTAAGCTGTCCCAGACTATAACCTTATTTGTGATTCCCTGCATAGCTGAGGTGATAGGCACACACCATCATGCCTGACCATTGGTTGGGATAGGGTCTCATAAACTTTTTGCCCCAGCTGGCCTGAAACCATGATCCTTTCAATCTCTGCCTCCTAAGTAGCTAGATTTACAGGCTTTAGTAAATTTCTTTCTCCTTCCCTCCATCCCTCCCTTCAGTCTCTTCTTCCCTCTTTCCTTCCTTAGCTCTGTCTTTTGGAGTATAATCTGACTTTACCTTATGTGGTGTAAGGTATAACAAACATATAAGATGCCAAATATGACACCAGAAATATAACTTGAAAACAGAAATATTAGAAGTTTCATTTATTACTCCTCATATTTGAAATCTGAAATCCTTTTCTTATGCCCAAAATGTGTCAAACAATGTCAGATTGTGAATCTTGTAGTAAAAGGCAGTAGAGAATTCATCTTTAAATCTAACTGGGAGCAATATTTAGTTTTATTTTATTTCATTACAGAAAATAGCTGCTCACAAACATAAGTACTTGTACACATCAGATTTTATATTTACAGTAACCATTCCCATGATATTTGTGGAATTCTGGGATTTCAACGTTGTCATATTGCTTTTTTTTTGGTGGCACTGGGGTTTGAACTCAGGGCTTCATGCTTGCTAGGCAGGCGCTCTTACCCCTTGAGCCACTGTGCCAGCCCTTTATTGTCATGGGTTTTCTTGAGATAGGGTCTTGCAAACTATTTGTTCGGGCTGGCTTCAAACTCTAATCCTCCTGATTTCTGCCTCCTAACTAGGTAGGATTACAGGTGTGAGACAGTGGTGCCCGGCTTGTATTTGTTTTTCAGGATAGTGTAGCACTGCAATTCAATAGCCTCCATTTTAGCTCTTCACTTACATGATTAACATTTATTGAGAAAGGTGAATTAAGCAATATTAGTTCATTTTCATAAATTCTGAAATCAGAGAACCTTTTCTGGAACTCAGTCTTCAACTTTTTAATAAATTCAAGTAATAGGTTTAAGCTCAGGCCATCACTTTCATTTTCTGAAACTAATTTCAGTGTAGGGAGATGGGCCAGATCGCTCCTGTCAAATGAGTTTTCCAAAGACACAATTTTGCTAGGAAAGAGTGAACTGAATCATGCATCTGTGTAACTTCTTGTGGAATCCTTGCAGAGAACTCTCCAATGTGTTTAGATGGGTTGTGATGTTGATCACAAAGTCTAAGTCTGACCCAATCTCTGCTAGTGAGCTGAGGTACAGGGCTCCCTTGGGAAGACATGAACACGTTCATTTCTCCCACTGCTTTAAAACCTGCTTACGCAGTGACACCACAACTCGGCCACTTAATTTCCATGTAGCAGAACAGGACTTCACACTGTGCAACTGATCTCTGAACAAAGCACAGAATTTTCAATGGTGCCAGTCATGGGAATGCAGCTCTGTAACTGTGAACCACTAAGTCCATAACATGATCCACTTGTAACTTTTTAGAACAGGGCAATTCCTGGAAATGGCACCCATGTATAGACTTGAGTTCTGAGTCTCTACAAGGCCTTGTCATGTTGGATTTCAGTCTTGTAATAAGTTGCTAAACACCAACCATGGTAAACTTGCCATCTGGGCTAACATTAATTTTGACCAATCTACATTAAGCTTTTAAAAACTTTTCTCAACATGTAATAAATCAACTCCTGATGCCATGCCTGTCACAGTTACCATACTAAAAAGTTCTGCAGTAACATCAAAAATAACACCATAAATAATCACAACTAACTGGGGCATTATTGATAACAGTGCTGTCATGAGCTCCAATGGAGAAAACTACAACGATTTCCCTTCTGCAACTTCTTGAACTGTCAACATGCTGAGCAACAATTATTACCAGTTACTCTTATATTTCCAAATATTTGTCTGTGTTCATAATTTCTGCTACCCTGAAAAGACATTCTTTGCCTGGCATGGTGGTTCAAGCCTGTAATCTTAGCTACTTGGGAGGCAAAGTCAGGGAGACTGTGGTTTACAAGGCCAGCCCTAGCAAAAAAAAGTTGGGAAACTCCATCTTAACCAACAAAATCTGGGTGTGGTAGCACATACCTGTCATCCCAGCTATGTTGAAAACACAAATAGGAGGATCAAGGTCCAGGCTGGCCTGGGCATAAAGAGAGACCCAATCACAAAAATAACCAAAGAGGAGAAAAAAGAATAACCAAAGAAAACAAAAAGGGCTGAGGATGTGGCTCAAGTGGTAGAATGCCTGACTAGCAAGCACAAGGCCTTGAGTTCAACCTCCAGTACCTCTAAAACCAAACCAAACCAAAAATACAAAATCCAAACTTCCAATATGTACAGGCAATTTTTTCACTAAATACACAACTATATTTTATAGCAGTATTATCTATTCACATTTAGAAGCAAATCATGTTGAAATTTTAATCTTTTTTTTTTTTCAGTCATTATGCATCTTTTCAGTATATCCATCATGATTCCTGCTATGGTTTGCTTCATAATGGTACTGTAGGTTGTATTCTTTCAACAGAGACTTTGTTTGTATACTAGGCATATAGGAACACATTCTTTATCTCCAAAAAGATGTAAGCTCTCTCCCATCTTTCTTGAAAAGTATGGCTTTCTTGCTCTGGTTCCTTCTCAGCCTTTGCTTTTCTTTCTAATATGGTCCAGAATGATTGCAAGCCCATCAATCTCTGATCCTCCATTCCCCATTCCCTGCTTCACACTGAAGGCTCTCTCTGCATGGCCTTGTGACTTGAATTCAATATAGGAAGCTCCTTCACTCACGCTATCCTTGCTCACTATTCTGATGTGAAAAGTGTTTCCAACACTTTCAATTCTTGTTGAGAGACTGTCAGGTAGGTTCTTGATCAAAAGTTCTTTGACATTTTGATCTTTACCCTGCTCCAACCCACAGTTTTTTTGTTTTTTTTTTCCTTTTTCTTTTATTATTCATATGTGCATACAAGGCTTGGGTCATTTCTCCCCCCTGCCCCCACCTCCTCCCTTACCACCCACTCTGCCCTCTCCCTCTCGCCACCCCTCAATACCCAGCAGAAACTATTTTGCCCTTATTTCTAATTTTGTTGTAGAGAGAGTATAAGCAGTAACAGGAAGGGACAAGGGTTTTTGCTGGTTGAGATAAGGATAGCTATACAGGGCATTGACTCACATTGATTTCCTGTGCGTGGGTGTTACCTTCTAGGTTAATTCTTTTTGATCTAACCTTTTCTCTAGTACCTGTTCCCCTTTTCCTATTGGCCTCAGTTGCTTTTAAGGTATCTGCTTTAGTTTCTCTGCGTTAAGGGCAACAAATGCTAGCTAGTTTTTTAGGTGTCTTACCTATCCTCACCCCTCCCTTGTGTGCTCTTGCTTTTATCATGTGCTCATAGTCCAATCCCCTTGTTGTGTTTGCCCTTGATCTAATGTCCACATATGAGGGAGAGCATACGATTTTTGGTCTTTTGGGCCAGGCTAACCTCACTCAGAATGATGTTCTCCAATTCCATCCATTTACCAGCGAATGATAACATTTCGTTCTTCTTCATGGCTGCATAAAATTCCATTGTGTATAGATACATTTTCTTAATCCATTCGTCAGTGGTGGGGCATCTTGGCTGTTTCCATAACTTGGCTATTGTGAACAGTGCCGCAATAAACATGGGTGTGCAGGTGCCTCTGGAGTAACCTGTGTCACAGTCTTTTGGGTATATCCCCAAGAGTGGTATTGCTGGATCAAATGGTAGATCGATGTCTAGCTTTTTAAGTGGCCTCCAAATTTTTTTCCAGAGTGGTTGTACTAGTCTACACTCCCACCAACAGTGTAAGAGGGTTCCTTTTTCCCCGCATCCTCGCCAACACCTGTTGTTGGTGGTGTTGCTGATGATGGCTGTTCTAACAGGGGTGAGGAGGAATCTTAGCGTGGTTTTAATTTGCATTTCCTTTATTGCTAGAGATGGTGAGCATTTTTTCATGTGTTTTTTCAACCCACAGTTTTTATCTTCAAAGTCTTCATGGTCTCCAAGCTTGGCAGCTGCCTTCTGTCCTTTGCCTTCTTGGCTCCCATGGTTTCCTTCCTGCTTGATGACAACACTTCTTCAGCAAACATGGGAACTTGAGACTTTTCTCCTATTTTCTTTTCTGCAGCAGTTGTATCCTTCCTGACATTCCTCTGAGGGATGACAACCTCATCTCTACTGCCATTGTCCTTATCTTCTGACATGTCACCTTCCCCATCTTCCATTTCCTTTGCGGAAGGACTCATTTTCTTCAGTTCATCTTGACTTTTTTCAATTCAAGTGCCTCCATCTCTGCACCCATGAACTCAGTACATCCTGGGGCAGCTCCCATCACTAAGCCTAGCAGAACAAAGAACTATCTGGCCATAATCAGTTGCAGCTACTTCAACTTAATCCACAGCACTGTTCTCAAGGACTCCTCCTTTAAGGTCACTGGGGTGTACAGCCCTGCCTCAGAGTCTGGCAAGGCTACATGCATGACAGATGCAGGCAGAACACTGGAAGATAGCTTGAGTACATTTATTTGTACTTGGCATATATTTCTATTGCAATTATAAATTATATTTTATCTTTTCTTTCACATTAGAAAATAATTTAAAAAATTATATAAAAATACAGCCCATTCTAAAAATGGTTTTGGAACAACACATAAAATTTATAAAGTAAGGAAACAAAAATCACTTGATCTCACTACTATGCATTACTCATTAGTTTGGTGATCATTTCATCTCTTGCTCACATGCACACACATTTACATTTTCTAATTTGAAATGTATACATAGAACAGGTACTTATATAGCATTTCAAATGGCACTTTATGGAACTCTTATCGTTTCTAATGGTTTTTTAGCTGGAGTCTCTTGAGTTCTCTAGGCATACAATTATATCTTATGTAAATAAATACAACAATTGCTTTCAAATTTTTCTATCTGTTCAAGACATCTTGTTCGTTTCTACTGGCTGAGATTTGCAGAAGAATGGTCGGTAACAGTAGTGGTAGTGCATTCTTATTTTACTGCTGACTCTAGTGGAACTGCAAACTTACAGTTGCTGTACTGATTCTGTCTTAGGCAATAGTTAACTGACAGGAAAACAGCATGTGGAAAAATCCCTTGACTTGATTTCATACCTCAATAAGGAAGAACAACACAGTTTTGGTAGGTTTAGAAGTTCTTTACCTAATTATATAAAATGTCTAACTTCATCTTTATCACATGCATTAAAAAAAGGGTATACCAACCTCTCCTGCTGACAACTTCTCTCTCACATTTTTCCAATAAATGTCTTTATTTTCAGCATTAGTGAAAAAAAGTAGCCATTCTGCAAAGTCTTCTTTTCTCATGAAATTCAAACCTTTAGAAAACTGAAGGAATTCCATTTCTTGGACTTCTGTCTGTAAATTTTCCACAAATCTAAATATCAAAACATAAAATTGAAATAACTAGTGGCACTGACTCTTAGTATTGTAAGTGGAATTGCAAAACACTTAACTATTACCCATTTTACTATTTACTTGATATGGTAAGCAGAATGAAGCATTAGTGTTAGGGAAAGGACTGTGGGAAAGAAAAAGTACAGAAGTTGATTAAGACCAATCAATACATGATTCAGGTCTGTGACTTCCATACTCAATTTGTTTGTGCAGGTTTTAGCTGTTAAGAACTACATTTTGATAAAGCCGTGAAAGTAAATTTCCATGACTGGTGGAGTGGCTTAGGGGATAAAGCCCAACAAGTGTGAGACCTTTGGTTCAAACCCCAGTATTGCCAAAGGAGGAAGAAAAAACCCCCACAGAGTTTCATAGAAAGCAATTTTTCCCACTATAAAAACATTAATAATCATCCTGATTTTAGAATATTAATCACAATTAATAGCTCTTAAGATTTTTTTAGACACCAAAATTAGCTGATTCAATCAATTGCTTAGATCTACCCCTAAAACACCTGTAATCTTTTGGATAATAACACATATTTATATGATCCAACACTCCCTTCTTAAAAACAACATGGCACTTTGATCAAACTGTCACCAGTAGCTTCCTGGGAAAGGTGAGTTGAAAGGATATCAGATTAAACTTTATTTTCTTTGTAAAAGAACTCAGAAATGTTGCACTTGATTTATTTATAATCTAAGTCATGTGGAAAATATTATGATCTCCACAAGTTTTAATGTATGACAGATCTATTTATTCATGTTCCCACATGTTGAAAGACCTGTACTATCTGTTATATGTTTATATTCCCGTTTAAATTGTGATATAACAGACTGGAGGAGTAGCTCAAGTGGTAAAGCACCTGTCTAGCAAGTATGAGGCCCTGAGTTCAAACCCCAGAACCACTAAAAAAAAAAAAATTGTGATATAACATATAATGATACCAAGTGATAAAAAGAGGTTCATTCCAGTTCAGTAGGAGAAAAGTTGTCAATATTGAAAAAAATACTTGCTTTAGGTTTTCCATTCTTCCTATAAACTTTAAAATGAAGGAGTTTGATGTTAGGCTTCTATGTGGCAGGTAAAACAGTCTGTCATTGACAACATTTTCTGAATGCGCTAGATGTATAGATTTTTCAATGCCATGTTTCTTTCTGGGCCAAAGCAGAATTTTGTCTAAAATTAAAAGTATTTCAGGTGTGGACTGATGAATCGACAATATATTTTACTGACATCCTTTGCTTTTGTTTTACTGAATTTTATTGTACTATGATGACATTCATTGATTCTTAGATTGCTGAATGCGTTACTTGTGAAAGAATGTACAGTGCATTAGGAAGTAGAAAATCTGGTATAAAGACAGCTAGTAGTTCTTTTTGTCTTCCTTTATCTTCATTGATGGGAATAAGGTAGTCTTGAGATGTGGCAGGATGAAGGAGCCCTGTAAGAGGCTGCTGTATTCCTGGAGGAGAGGTAGTGGCGAGTGGAGTAAGGTGGTGGCAGTGGGGACAGACAGAAGTGGAAGAATCCAAGAGATTACTCATGAGAAGGGAATGGATGGCATTTGGTGACCCAACTTGGAGTGAGAAAGGAATCAAGGGTAACGTCCTGTTTCTGAATGGAGTTGACTGATGATGTGATACAGTCACTGCACCAGTTATAAAAGGGGAAGAATTCCTATGTCACCTTGTAAGAATGTAAGATACATAGAAAACTGCCATGATGCTATGGATATTGTACGACATCCTCCTTGTTTTCAACTCTACTCAAGCCCAGACTCTACTCTTAGCGACTTTCTTGCTCACATCCTCAGCAGCCTTGGGATACTGATGGCCTTTTTCATGTGTGGCTTGAAGAAAACCATACAGTAACTGTACATATTAGTTTAACCTGCATAAATTCATGGTCTACACCTCCAACTGGGTCTTCCTCCATCATCTACTTCCAACCTTCAACACAGGATATGCTGAGTTACTACCTCTTAATCTATGAAAGCACTGACTACAACACACTTAAATGTTTTGCATGTTTAGTCACCAGAAGGGACTATGCCTGGTGTTTGAGACACGGCCTAATGTATTATACACTCAATCTTCACATAGTATACACTCAATAAATCTTCACTTAACTGCACTGAGCTGAATGAGGTACAGGTCTTCTTCGTCTTCGTGTTTTTGCTAGCATTCTGTACTGCTTTCTGATGTTTTTAAGATGTTGGTTGGTAGAGTGGCACAGGGAGGCACATGTTTTGTATGGAGTTATCTCATTGGAGGAAGGTAAGCAATAATCATATAGTGTATGTATTATTTATTCCCCCCATACGGATAAAGAAATTAGTTCAGGGAAGTTGCTTAAAATTAATGTTAGCATAAAGCTTCACTGGAACATGGACATGTCTGTTAATGTACTATTTACAGCTGTTTTCACACTACAGCAGTAGACTTGCGTAGTTGTGACACACACTGTATTTACCATTTGGCCTCTGTAGAGAAAGTTTGGCAATCCTTGTGCTAGAAAATCAGAGACTACAGAGAGCAGATCTGAGTTTCCCACCTGAGAACATCATAGAACAGCTACCTCCCAGCTACCCCATCAGCAGTCTTCAACACATGAGTAAGTCCAGTCAAGATCAGCTAGTCCTTGACCCCATCAGGAAAACTGCACCCAACTGACCAAGAGTCATGGATATAATTAATGTTCCTTGTTTTAAATTGGGCTTGTTTGTTTTGCATTAAGAACAAACTGGCACTAAGGGCATGTCTCTTAATTGCAACTATCAAGTTACTAAACAGAATTATTGTATTCTATAAAGCAGATACTACTTTTCATGTTCGGTTAGAATATTTTGAGCAGAGTAAGATATAAATACCAAATAGATATAGAAATACTATTTATTTTATAGTCTGAAGTTCTGGGAAATGAATATGTTCAATTTCTTTTCTTTCTTTGCTTCTTTTTGGAGGTACTCAGGGCCTTTTGCTTGCTAGCCAGGCACTCTACCACTTGAGCTAGCCCAGTTTCTTACTTGTAAAATTTCCTTAAATAAATATATTTAACTTACCTTCGAAATTCTTTATAATGAAGTTTTCTTTCTCCCCCTTTTCCAAAGAAGTACATTTGAAGAGTTGTGTTAACTTCAGGTTCTTTCATTATTGGTTCCTATAAAAAAAGTACATACTAATTTCAAATCACTATTCAAAAAGACAAAAATGGGACCTGTAGACTGGAACTCCAGAAACAACAATATCCAGAAATGATTCTTGTAGGAAAGAAAAAGATGAAAAAGATGGAAAAGAGTGATGGAGCCTGGCTTAAAACCTTCAATTTAATGATAAACAGATTAATGTGAGAAGAAAGCCCTGAGAAGGTCATGGAACCCCCTCCATCCTGAAGCTTTATACATTGCTTTGGTGGGACTTGAGGAGTGTGAGGAAAGAGTGTCAAGGGCTTCTAACCTCCCAAGGCATCATATTAAATCAAGGAAATAATGAGAAGCCCACAGGGTGAGATACTTTCCCCCCCCACTCTAGTACTAGGGTTTGAACTCAGGGCTATACCTTGAGCCACCAGTCCTTTTATTGTGATTTTTTTTTTTATGGGGGTTGGGAAACGGAAGATTGGGTTGATGCATTTATGACTCAGGGAGTGAGTCTGTCCCTTTAAGGCCACACCTAGGTAGGTGACCTGTGGGAGGCAGGGACTGTCAGGATTTAAATATAACACTCTTGGATAAAAGAGAGCTTTAGCTCATTATTTTATATAAATTGACACTTTTAACCTTTTAAATGATAAAGTATAACATAACACTGTTACAAGGTGGTCATTTAAGACAAATAAGCAAATATGTAAATGAACTCTGATTTAGTAGTACTTAAAGCTTGACAAGATCAGCAGAAAATACAAATAATTTCTTTAATAAAATCTTTTTTGTAGATGTTACTCAGAGCAGAACAATATTAAGATATAGAGGATTTGATTTTAGTTTGACATGACCCTAAAAATCTTTTAGGCAACTCTTAGATTATATTCAACTTTATCTTTATCACACATCGAAGTTTTTTATTATACACTTTTAAAACTTACTCAGACCTGCATACAACATATTAAACCCTTTGATGGTTTGTCCTTATCCTTCCTATTTGAAACAATCTTTAGGACAAATCCTTCTTTACAAAATCCCTTCTCATCCAAAAACCCATTCCTTTTTTCTTTAACTTCTCAAAAAATACATTTTTTACCTATCTATATCCTTTCCAGTTGTTTACTTTGTAACTCGTATTTTAAAATTAACTTTTATAAGAATTTTAAATTTATTGTAGGGGCTGGAGGACTAACTAGTAGCCCTTGTTGTTTTAAGGAATTTATGATAGTCCCTCAGGCTTGAGGGAATATTGTTTTAGGTGTAGAAACTGTGAGGAATTTTTGAGTTTTATTTGAATAGGGAGGGCCATCCTGGCTCACCCTACACTCATCTCATCAGTCCACACTGTGGAATCTCTTTGTTCCCGAAGGAGGTGGCAGCAGAGATAGCTGCCTGGGGGGAGGAGAATTTGAGCTTTTAATTGAGATAGTAAATCCCATCCCAGCAGGGACACTGGAGTTTTAGGTACTATAGGAAAGAGTGACAGAAGAGGAGGTCTCCCCAAGAGCAGGCCAGAGGCCAGGTAAACTAGCTTTCTAAGGGCTGGCCAGATTTGCCCCAAACGATAACTTTTGTCATTGGACCGGGGACCAGGAGAAAAAGGTAAAAGAAGAGAAACAGGCTCCACTGTCTAGGAAGAAAATGGCCTTTTGTTTTTCTGCCATTATGGCTCCTCAACATTGATGCCAAGAAGTGGAGTGTGGCCAGGAGGCTGGGACCCATCAATACATAGAAGGTGGCACCTCGTCTTCCATCTGGTGACAGGGGCACTTAGACCTCCAGTGGTTACCCTTGCAGAGGGCAGGGTCCCAGTTGGGGGCAGGGCTGTCTCCCGGGCTGTGCCCCCTTAAGCATTCTCTGCAGAAGTGCCCCTCCTGTCCACCATGACAGCAGGTTCAGGATACAGCCCCAGTCGGGTGGGGCCCTCTCTGAGAGCAGCAATGAGGCCATGGTGTCTCTTATCTTTTTCTCTCCTGTTAGTAAGGTCCCAGACATACAGACGTAGCCACAAATACAGACGTGGCTGCTGTGTTATACTTGGTTCAATGACTTTTCCCTTCAGTCACAGTCTGAGTTTTTTACGAATATCTGGGGCTGACTGTTAGGAATTTATCTTTGAGGAGAACCTCTCTCACCTGTGACTCTGAGTCCACCGTGGTATGCTTTCTGATAGGGTGTTGCTGTAAAGTAAAATTGTTATTTTACATTGACACCTGACACTCTGGAGAACAAATCTCTGAATTGTTCTGGGCCTCAGTTTCCTCACTTGAAGAATGAGGGATCTGGTCTAGGTTAAACTACGTTTTTCCACTATGAGATGGCTGAAGTGACATTAATGCCACTTATCTTCTTTACCATTTTTTATTTGTTTTTTTTAGTAATGCTGGGGAATTGAACGCAGGGCTTTGCACGTGCTGGGCAGACATTCTCCCATTGAGCCACTTCCTCAGCCCCAAATATTATTATTATTATTATTTTTTACTTTGGCTGTACTGGGCTTGAACTCAGGACTTTCTGCTTGTAAAGCAGCACACTACTGCTTGAGCCTTATAATCATTTCCAACCTGAGTGGCCTGGGCCAGAACCCATTGCTTTTCTAATGAGAGAAATTTGTATAGGGGACCTCAGTTTACTTTTTTTTTTTTTTACTTTTATAGAAAAGGTCTAATTGGAGTATGGTACTATAATTTAAGGACCCCTGTGAAGGCCACTTCTCTTGGTCACCCAAGGCATACTGAGGCCAGGCCTCAGTACAAAGCTTTTAACATCTACCAGCCAGAAGACTGGAAGATGCAGGTCCCATCTAGAAAGAACAAAACGTTAGGGTCCTGTCTTTTAGCTAACAGCAGGCAGCCTCTTTAATAAAACACTACCTTTTTAACAAAGAAATCATTTGTAAAGTTAGAGAAGGGCATTGAGAGGGCATTTTAGGCCAATAACAGTGACATACGGGACAACTAGTGTTAATATTTGGAGGGAAAAATTTATGCTGAGGCCAAAGGTATAGAAAATTCTAAATGAGAAATTCAGAGACCACAGTAATGTCTATTTAGTTATTTCTGGAACTATAACCTTGAACTAACAATTGACTTACAAGGTCTGGGTCTGATGCCCTGAGGTGTGAGGTGGGGCTAGGAGCAGGACTTGTGCAAGGCTCCACTCCCTCCACACACACCTGGGACAAATGACCCTGACTGCCTAGGCCTGATCCTGCAGCCTGTTGCCCCACCCTTCCTGTGTACTCTGCACTTCTAGGGGAAGTGGCGGTGGGCTGCAGCGATTGCCACATGTGGCTGGCGGCCCAGGATTTGCTGGGTCCTCTCTATGGATTTTCTTAGCTATGGCAGGCGCTTTGTGTCCAGAAGCTGGCATCCTGTGCACAGGTGCGCCTGTTTGCTTTCCCTCCTCCCCTTGTGGGGGCGGAGTTGGAGCATGAGCGTGGCAGCTGCAGGTTTTTGTAAGCGCTTTTGTAAAGTGGCTGATTTAAAGTTACTTTAGACTGAGAGGCCTGGCAAACTAGTTGGAATAGCTTAAGTCATAAGGTACCATGCTACAGGTTTTTCATGGGAGGCAGGGTCTCAGTAAGCCCAGGGAGGGGAAGGCAGACAGAGACAGAGGACATGTGGTGAGACCATGGAGGAGGCAGAAAGGTGTGCTGACATCTTAGGTAAGGGAGGGGAATGCAGAGCCTGGAGGCATGACACACACTTAAGGGATTAGCCATCACCTGTGCCTCCAAGTTGCTCCCATTGATTGGTACTTGCAGGCTTTCAGCAAAATGAAACCTCCACTCTCTGGTCACCAAATAAAGCATGAGCTCTCTCAGAGCTGGAATCGCCTTAAGGTCAGAATTGGCAAGGAGTGGCTTGCTTAACTCCATGACAGGGAAAGTTTTTCAGGAAGATAGGAGGAGATAGGTATGGTAAGCAGTGCAAGAAGTCTGCTTATGTGGGGAAGGAGGAGGTTTGGAGAGGAACTGGCTGATTTAGAAACTGGTTTACAGGCTGATAGAATCTGTGCAGGGGAACAGAGAGTACAGAGGGAGGATTTGAAGTCAGAGAGCCAGATTTAGATGGAGGTATGAAAAGGCTTGGACATAATGGAAGCTCTCCCCATTGTCCTGATTGCTCACAGTAGTTGTATGTCCTGTAAAAGGTTGGGATTTAAAGACCTGAAAAGGGGCCAGTGATTTTGGTTGTCTAAAGGATAAGTGGGCCAGATTTGAGTGCAAAAGTGGATTAAATTTTTTGGTTTTACATCTGGGGTCAAACCCAAGGTGTCTAAATAATTGAGGAGGCATCTCAATGGGGAGTCAGATGGCAAAGAGGATGTAGAGGTACCCATTGTGTGGGACCTGGTCCCATAATGGGAGAGGAGGATATTATGTACTGTGGAGAGTCCTTGCGCAGCACAAATACCCGACAACAGCACAATGCCCGCAAAACTCAATTGTCATCGAGTTCTAGTGGCATGCTGGGCCGAATGGCCGAGGGCTATGGGTCACCTGGGCCCAGGCTTTTTGATGAGGGGTCTCTGAGACCCATGACAAAATGGATCCAAGCCCGACAACTGAGGGAATCCTTCTGCCACCTGAGCCACCCAGAGATAGCCAAACAGGGGGAGTGTTTGGAAACCCTGGAGATACAGAAGGGAGAGACCACAAAGGGAGCCCGAGAAGGGTATGTGGACTCACCAAAGAATGTCTGGTGTTGGATGCAAGTGAGGGTGATCAGGAGGATGAGTCCTGGCCAGTCATGTCCTCAGGGTGGTCGTGGGGCGAGTCGGAATGGAGGTCCCACCAGGATTAGTGGGGAAACCCACCCCAAGTCATGGTACCAAATGTAAGGAAATATAGGCACCAAAAGTGACCACGTGGACAGGAGTGATCTGGCCAAGAGATTCTTTATTGCCCGGTGGGAGAGGGAGAGAGCAGAGAGCCAAGAGCTTTTTTTTTTTGAGATAGGGTCTTTCAGACTATTTGGCCAGGGCTGGCTTCGAACTGTAATCCTCCTGAGTA